ACACCTAAGACTAAGCCCTAATTTTTTTCATTTTTATTTGATTTGATGAATAAGAAACACATAAGAATAAGCTACAATAGGTGGAATTAAGCAAACCACATTATATTTAATATGATAATACCCAATTCACACATAATGCTAAAATATGAGTTTGTGTTTCAAAACATTTATAAGCCATAGGCAGTTTAAAATATAGCTGCTATAATGGGAAGATTGCTTAGAAATAATATTTCAATGGTATTAGAAGAGCTTATCAGCAAAAGACACATTTTATGGATGAGAAATGATGAGTAAACATAACTGGTTACTCTACAGAGATTTACTAGAATTTTTCAAGGGGATTGTAAAATGAAATCAAAAGAAGATTCAATAACAGGGATGTTCTTGTTGATTTCTTATGTACAATTAAAAGAAAAATTTAAAGTGGATAAAAGATATTATGATTTTACACAGAGTAAGATTTAATTTGAAATAGAATTATGTACAGCATAATGATGAACATGTTACTGCTAAAACGTATTAACTTTATTGAAATATAAGACAGAAGAAGAACAAGTGAAATAATATATCATAAAAATGGACCATTGGAAAAATATGTGGTTGAAAGGACTGAAATTTACATTATGTTCTAGCTTTAAATGGAATGTTTATAAAATGATGCATCATTGATGTTTGTTGCCAGAGAAATTGTGTAGAATATATAAAGTACTTGAATCTTTTTTGGAAATGTGAACAACATGAAGAGACGTTTTTATCATGTTTAGTTGACATGTAAAAAAAAGCTAAAACCAGGGCTTTTTTTGTCATAGAACTCACCAGAATGTAGTTGTGGCAACTGTTTTTGATGGATTTTCCAGAGTTGCGTTCTTTTCCTATTGTTTCCCTTCCTATCATTTGTTTTTGAAAATGCCCCATTGGTGGTACGGTGCGAGCGGGGTCTGCTCCGGTGCTGTCTGCCTCCTCTAGGAGGAGCCATGAGGCATCAGAGCACCACAGCCAGAGAGTGGCTTGATTGGCTGGGTCGCACCATGTGGTGTGAATATATAAAGTGGCAGTGGGAGACACATAAACATGGAGGCTATCTTTCATGAGAGGGTGAGTGAGTCTTTTGCCTTCCCTTACAGAAGGTGGAGTGTGAGGTTAAAAAGAGGTGAAGTGAGAGGAAAGAAAGGCGGCTGGCATGGAAGCTTGCCTGACAATGAAACTTTGCTGTTTCAGTTCCTTGGGTAGTTCAAAGGCTGGGATGTCTATGAAAATCTCTTTTTAGTCTTTTACACTTTATATTCAAACTGTAGAGGGGAAGAATAAGAATAAAGCCAATGTCTTGTGATTTGAAGGTATTATTATTATTAATAATATATATTAATTATGTATTGGTCAGATGTAAAGGTAGACCTACAGTACGAGGTTTAATCAGACCTATTTATTAAGTTGGGTTTAACTGAAAGGTAAATTAAAAGTAATCTGTTCACTGATAAAGTTTCAAGTTTAATTTGTTTCAAGTCAATATCCACATTAAACTCCAAATGTAAATTTTTCCACCTTGTTTGACAACTTCTTAAAAATAATTCAATCTTTTACAAGCAACCAAATTTTGTTTTATTGGGCCAATTTCATTCCACATAGAAAGCTGACATTTCCACCCATTAAACTAAATGGGTAGGCCAGTGGTAAATGTCCCAAAAGATTAATAAAATGCCTTCTTGTAATTTAAAGCCACACATTGCATGGTAACATTAATAGTATTCACTTACCTTGAACAAAACCCTAGTTTTCCGGCACCTTTTTTTTTTTTTTACAAAAAAAGCAATGGCTAAAACATTTTGGATAAAAATGAATGCATTAATTCAGAAATTCTTAAAATTTAAAGTACAACTGAAACCAGAGACTCTTCTTTTTGGACTAATGATAAGCAACCAAAAAATAATAATAGAACTTTGCTTTTATATATGACAACTGAAGCAAAATTATTATAAGACCTGATACTACCTACAACAGAGGAATGGTTGGTGAAGTTGATAAAATTAAAAGCAAAGAAAACTAAATTAACTTTTTCAATTAGAGAAAAACAATGTCTACATTTATGGTCAACTGGAAAATCCTTATAGATTTTTTGCATGAAACAGAAAAAATGCACTTGTGATTTTGATGATTGGGGGAAAAAGATAATAGAGAAAAGTAAGAGTTTTTTAATAATTTAAAATAAGGGATAATATTGTAAATTTCCTTCCTTCCTTCCTTCTTTCCTTCCTTCCTTCCTTCCTTCCTTTCCTTGTGCATTTTTATGTTTTATAAAACGTTAATTAAAATTATTTTAAAGGCGTATTAGAACAGCTTAATTGGAGAGCTTCTAGACTGAACTCAAAGTGCTACTATGAAGCATTGTTCTAAATGGTTCCACTCCCCCATGCTAGTCTTACTTTCATTGAAATTGGCATTCCAACATTTTTAATGAGAAAATTTCCCATCCAATGTAGAAAACAAGTATCTAATGAACCTGCTGAACTGAGATATTAATCTGTAGAATGTTCTCAGAAATCTCACTTGCTTTTTATAACAGATTTATTTCTATTATATAAAATCTAATATTCTCCTATCGTTTCCAAATATTTTAGGCTGCTTTTTAGCTCTGTTTTTTTGTGGGATAATTACATTTATATTTCTTACTCTAGTATAATTTTTGAGAGTACTTGTTCAAGGTAGGTATTTGATTGCATTTATTGATACATGAAACCAATTAGAAGATTGCTAAAAGTAGTTATGTGAATCAGGAAAATAAGTTCAGTGGCCTGCAGGTAAACAAGTCATATGCTGAGAATTCCTTTTGGTCAAAGAAAGAAATAGTAGGTAGTTAACCTTATTTATATCATAAGTTATTTCATTGGCAATTAAAGAGATATACATGTCTGAAACCAGGCAGCCATGAGAGCTACATAATTGTTCTACATTTTATTCTACCCATTTAGAACAAGAAAGCAATAACAGTGTCCAAATTCTATTGGAATTGTTTATTTATGTATTTACTTACTTACTTACTTAGACTTATAAGCTTATAAACTAACTCCAATAAGGAACGAGTGTGTGAAGATTAAAAATTCTAGAGAATAAATAAATCCCTAGTAAATAAATAAATACCCAGTAAATTATAACTCTTTCATTTTACAGATCACTGTTAACTCAGTGAATGTGCTAATACTGATTAAACAGATCATTTTGAAATCAAATCTTTATGTTATGCCAAGGGTGTCCCTGAAGTCACTTTCATATAAGAACTATAGTTAGTGGTAACTTCTTCTTCTGTTCAATATTATAAAGAGAGGAAGAGACATCTTAAAGTAGATTCTCCTCTGCTCATTCTCCTCATTCATATATTACCTATTCAGTAATATTATAACTGAATAGCCAAAAAGCTTCTCTTTAAGAAAGCATGATATCTTTTTAATGTAGTAGTTCATTTTATTTTATTTTAATGGCTCCTTTAATGGCATTCTATATGTTTTATGAGGCACCAGTAACAATTACCCAGAAGGTAAAACAAAAAAAAATATATAGCATCATTTTTATGTTAGTATAATAATAATATCAGTATGCGCTGGAAGGTATAAAAATGATCCCTTCATCATTATTCAAATTGCCACTTTCCTATAAAATGATATTATAGTCATTTCCCCTCATTTTCACATATCTGAGAAAACTCTTGTTAGAATTGTAAAAAAGATAGGAGGATCTTGATTACTTCTTATAGTTTTTTCATGTTAATAATAACTTATTTGAGTGATTTATGCCAGTTTACTTTTTTCCTAATCAGAAACTACATGCCTGTAATGTTTCTATATTTCCAAAATAGACAAAAATTAGAGAGTTTAACATACAGGAAGTGTCCATCTCTAAATTTCATTTAAAATTGGCTTAATCCATTAGGAACTTTGGATGAAGTGAATATTGCCTAGATACCATTTTTACTCTTTGAATATGGTTTGAACTTGTTTAACATCTTTAGTATGAGTGGGAAAAATGTTTTGGATTCTAAGCATTTTTAGCTCAAAGCCAGTTGTTCTGACCTTGTTAAATGTGTTCTGACGCTGTTCTGACCATTCCAGAAATGTTCAGACTGTCCATTGTGTTTGAAATTGGTCTTACAGGTACAAAACAAGCATACTCTCGGCACTTTTGAAGTGTTTTATGATTAATGTACTTGTGGTAGGGACAGAATGTTGTTCCAAATTTGAAAACTATTGCATATCATTACCCTTTAAATGTATTAGAAACGATCATATGGGTATTATTTCAATAATGTAATAATAATATCTGCCCTGCAGAAATGGAGGCAGAGGTTTGGTTCAAGTTAAACAAATGGTTGAAGAAGAAAAGTATGCATTGGCTGATTACATAAAAGACAGCCAAGGACATGCATTGATACAAATTGGAACTTACTGAATGTGCAGGAAACAAAACATGAATATCAAAGCAACATAGTAAAAACAAAAACAGAATGCTGGCAAGGAAAAGTACTGCATGATCAATTTCTAAAAAAAATCAAAGAGAAAGTGGATAAAGATAAAATCTGGCAATGGTTTACAACTGGAATATTTAAAAAAGAAGCCCAAGGCTTGACTGATTTGGCAGTTGAATAATACAATCCCAGTTTAAAGTAAGTCAGCATCAATTCTACAAAAACCCTTGAAAATGGAAAAGAATCAAAAATTTCACAAGGACAGGTAATATAGATCAATTTTGGATTACACTGTAAACAATTCCTCTAACCTCCATATTTGAAAATAAAGATCTTTTCTGTTTTCTGTTTTTTAATCATTTATGTGATCCTTAATAAAAATTATAGCTGCATGATGAACATATGATGCCATCCCAACAGGGTTTAGAGGTCACTACTGGGAGAGCTTTTAATTTTTGTAATTAAAATGGCCATTCTTGAGGCCATATAACATACAAACAATATAATATATCAATTTCACAAATTTTAATATCAAGATTATACTTACATTATTAAGAGAAGTGGATACATATTTCGATCTGAGAAATCCTTTGGAAATGTTAACTGTAAAGGAAGTTCTTTTAAGAAAAGAGCAAAACATTAAAGGCTGGTAGTTTGAAAGATGAATTAAAAATACTATTTGAAAACATATTGCCTTTTCCAAAATTTTCTAGTATATTTACCATAGTCATCAATGTGAAGCATTCTAGTTTCTGTTCGTAGTTTTTTTCTCATTGAAACTGCTTCTTTTAAAACAGAGTTGTTTTCTAAAATATAAAACTCTGTAAAATAAAAAGGTAAAAAAGGAACCAATGTACATGTATGCTTAGTTGGATGAAAATTTTAAAATACAATTTATATGTAGATACAATCCATTTTTTTATAGAACAATGTTTAGAAAGGCACATTTAAAGTAAAATAAATATGGATATACTGTATAAGCACACATATTATACTGTATATAGATAGATACATTTCACTCATCTTTTCCATTAGTATTTATTAAGTCTTCTTTCAGTTTAAAACACTTGGAGAACGTAAAGCAAAAACTTCCTGCCATACTTTAGATGTGACTCAACTAGATTTTAATTACTGAGCCTTTGTGACCAGATTCATTGGCAACTACAGCTGTAGTTTCAGCCTGCATTTCCAATAAAATTGGACGTCCCTAAACTAAAAGATGCATGGGCCTAACTATATGGAATCAGCATTTTTCTCCTGTGATTGATTTTGCTATCGTCTGTTAAATGCAAGGAAATCTTCACATGTTCAATCAATGTTTAATCTCATAATGGCATCTAATGTATACAGCCCTTTTTATAGGCCTTTGGCTTTGTATATATGGTCTTAAAGGTGAACTCAGCAGAACAAATGGTTTAGTCCATACTGCATCCAAATAATGTACCATATAATTTTTTTCCACATATGCAATTTGGTTTTTACATAAAGGAATCATGTACAATAGAAGTTTATTTGTTAGAGAAAAGTGTATTCCAAGTATAAAAACAAAATTAGCAACATTTTATTTTTGGACATGTTAGGGTAATATTAGTCAAAGATGAAGTTAAGAGAGATGCATTTTTCTTAAGATGAGATCCTTGATTCATCATGGAACTTCCATAGATCTCTGGAAGTGCTTTTAATACTAAAATTATATCTGGCTTATTATTATTATACTCTGGATTCTCTTCAGATTGTATAAATCTTTCACCTTTTATTAAAATTATATCTCAAATTAAGTAAAATGGAAGACAGTTTTTGAATAACAAGTTGGTATTAGTGAATTTTGATTTATCTATTTATAAATACACATTAATTCAAAATTATCCTTCATTTATAAATCTCTAAAAAGAAATTTAAAATTACAATTTGAAGAATTACTTGCCTTTTTTTTTTTTAAAAAAGGGCATCAGTTGCATATGGATAGCTATGTTTCCTCTAAACAAATTTTTAAATTGGTAAACTACATCTTAATTTAATGAAATAATGAATAATTTAAGAGGCAGTTTCACAGTGTCAACTAAGCTGTTTTAAATACAATAATTCAACTAAAATTCAATCATATAATTGTTATTCCATTAATAGGAATGATGATTAAGTTTACATATATGTATATATGTATGTATATTTCCACAATTTTCTATAGAAATAAATCTTTTCTTCTGAATTTTTACAAGCAAAAATTTGACAAAGGTTCAGCACAACTCTGTTTCACTTTTAAACTATGATTTCATTGCATAACTTACTGGCTTAGTCTATTATGGGCAAGAATATGGTGCTTTAAATCAATATACATATATGAACATTCATTTAAATTGAATTATTTCCCCAATTAAAGTAAATAATTGAATTATCCAAATAATGCATGTCTGCATAGAATGTACTGAAGTTATATATTTTGAAGATGTATTTCAAAAACATATTTTGAAAAAGTTACTTATATAGAAAACCTGTATGTGTTTAATAATAATAATAATAAAGTTGGAAGGGACCTTGGAGGTCATCGAGTCCAACCCCTTGCTCAGGCAGGAAACCCTACACCATTTCAGACAGATGGCTGTCCGGTCTATATATGTGTCTTACTTGTATGTGTGTACATAAATGTATTGAGTTGCTTAAACATTTAAGCACACATAATATTTATATCATTAAAAAGAGATGAATTAGATAACTGGCACTCAAAAACAATTCCTTAATCCAAACTAATTGTATTAGAGCTTTAAAGTATTTTAAACCATATATAAGAAGTACTGCAATAGGAATTCAATTTGCATAGTTATTTAAAGAGACTGTGCCACTGTGCCACCTAATTATTGTAAGTATTAATGGGAAATAAAGGGTACTTATTAATGTAAGATCATCCTGAAAAATCCGTGATATATTATAGCTACTGTATTAATTTCACTCTGTTCTTGTTGCTTATGTGCATGTTTTTTTTCCTAAGTTGTAATTAAGATGAGGTTTAAAAATTAATTTTCTGAAGGTCTCAATTAAAAGGGAGAAAACCCACAAGAAAATCCCCAGTGAAATGGTATAACTTACTTTCAGGATTAATTGTGCTGTGCAGGCTGACAATCGGAACACCAGGACCTGTACAACACAGAAAGACAGGCACACAGAGGAAGTAAATAAAAGAAACTACCTTTGGATTCCTCAGCTTAAAAAAACTAAAGCAAAACATACATTATTCTAACACATGGTTTTCAAAACTACTACTGAATATGCTTTAAAGATAGCATATGAACAATCCCATTAATGCCATGGTAAAAGCATAATCTAATGGGAAATAATAAATCTGTGATCATTATTATCTTCGTTTCACTTTTATAGCAGAGAAATTGACACACAGAGCGATTAATAGCCTGATTATATAAAGCACAGAGTACCTGCAGCTACTATTAAATCAAAGAGAGAATAGGGAACATTCAGACTTTGCAAAGTCATTTGGAGGCCATTAGAAAACTCAATGGAAATCTCAGAAGAAATGTATCCAAACTTCTTGTAGCTTTGATTCAGTGTACAGATAAGAGTGCCCTAGTAAAGAGGATACCTGATTTCATAGAATAATAGACATGGAAGGGGCCTTTCAGGATGTCAAATCTGTCCTCTCCCTGCTCAATGCAGTCATTCAAATTAAAACATCCTTGCTTCTACTACTTGAACACACTGGTGAAAGATTCCGCCCTATTATTATTATTCTTCCTCCTCCTCCTCTTCCTCCTCTTATAGTATTTCACTCTCCAATGTTCAGAATACAAGCTGTCTTTAGAAATGTTTTCCTTTAGAACTGTGGATTGTGAAATAACTGTAGCAATAAATAAGTAAGTAAATAAATATCTGTGTATGTAGTTCATTCTCCTTCAACTCCCCATAATCTTCCTGGGCATCTTACTAATGATAACAAGAATGTTATTTCTGTCACTGATTGACAAATAAAATCATGCAGCTATCCAGGCTTTTGGCTGGTGTAATTTGATAGTAGGAGAGCACATTGAAGAAATGAGTGATATCCTCCTAAATAGATTAATTAACTAGTGAATACAAGTTTAGTACATCTTTTACACCATTACTTCTAGTGATCCCTCTCCCTTGGTTCCTTATTTCATAGAGCATTCTATCATAGGAATGATCAAATTAGTACAAAATTTAAATTGTCCAGTAAGGTAATTTTCATGTGTAAGATACACAACAAATATATAATGCCACAGTTGAGATTTTGTAACTATTATAATGATGTAAACTATTTTTATTTGTAATAAAGTTATCACCAAGATACATTAATTTTTTGATGTTGAAAAACATTTCATTTTTTTAAAAATAAGTGTGATAACTGTACAGTGAGAGCCTGGCTTACCCTTACACTGTAGAATGAAATACTTGATTGAAGGACTAAACTTTGCATTAAAATATGTACAACCATCTTTCATAAAATTGCATGAAAGACATTGACGATTCAGCAATTCAGTTGTTGACACACTAAGGCAATAAAAAAAATTGATCAAGCACAAGAAAACCTGCAGCTAATATTCACTGCAAATATATTATTATCAGGAAAAAAATCTTTGGTTTGAATTGTCAATATTTCAGACACTACAACAAGTCCTCAACTTACGACCAAAATTGACCTCAAAATTTATGTTACTAAGTAAGACAGCTGAGTTTTGACCCATTTTATGACCTTTCTTGCCACTGTTGTTAAGTAAATCATTGCAGTTGTTAAGTTAGTAGCATAGTTGTTAAGTGAATCTGGCTTTCCCATTGACCTTGTTTGTCAGAGGGTCACAAAAGGTGAACCCATGACCCCAGGACACTGCAACCGTAATAAATATGAACTAATTGCCAAGCATCCAAATATTGATTAAGTCACCATGGGGATACTGCAATGGTCATAGGAATGAAAAACAGTCATAAATCACTTTTTTCAGTGCCACTGTAACTTTGAACGGTCACTAAACGAACAGTTGTAAGTGAAGGACTATCTGTACTGGACAGGACTACATTGTTTCTTTTTTCAAACTTCCTCCCTATGTATCATCACATTTTTCTCTAGCAAAGGAATGCAGTGGGGAATGGAGGATGTGGAAATACATGTTTGTGAATTTCAGGCTCATGATACAAGACTACAATGACTATAACTTCATTTTTATTACTTCCATTTCCTTGATATTTTCCAATGCATATAAAATGCTAACTAGGCTTAGTATTATGCTGTGAAAGATGTATTTGAGTGATTATCTATCTGTCACAATATATATTGTTCCTAGGAAATTTGCTTCTTTTATAAAACCACATATTCATGTAGAATTTCTAACGTATGCATGGGATCTCTTTTGACATTTAAGTTAATAGCTTTTTGTAAACAAAGCGACACAGCCCTGTCAATCATTTAGGAATCATACTGTGCTCGATCTGCTTACCTATGTAATTGTCTTCCTCTTGGTGAATTTTCAGTACTTAAAAAATAACTGGCAAAATGAGAAAAAATACCTTCAGCCCAGGTGAATATGTACTAATTTGCTATAGATAATAAACATAATGAACATCAGACCTAAGGATTTCAGTTATATAGGAGAAGGGCAGGTTCATTCTTACTATTAGATACATTGAAGTGGCTATCCACAAAACAACTTGAGGCTGGCTTATTTCTTTACATTGGTCCTAATCTTTCATTAGTAAAGAAGCTTTGCAATTCTAGACTTATTTTCTCCTTTCAGAATAAGATATCCAACTCATTTTTTGAGGCCATAATATGGTTTTATCATCATGAACAAATTACCTCAGCATTCATGTTGACTAGAATGTGTCCTCAGGTGATTAAGAAGGAAACTTAAGAATTAGTACACCTGGCTTTGTAAAAATAAAATTGTATTATCGCACATGCTATGCTTTATGTAGATGGAGCTTAATTAGTGATTAAAACACTTGTTTTATCAGAGGTCTTGCTGTTTTGTGTTCAGAAGAGATTGTCTGCCTCAATTCTGCCAGTTTAAAAAGGAGAAGAAAATTAACTAATGATCAGGCAGAATAACTGATCTTGTTCTGAGAAAAAAAAATGCAGGTATTCAAAGTACCCATCTTGTCTGTATTAAAGACAACAGAGATATTAAAAGACAACAGAGACTTTACCTCATTCTCATACTAGGCACCAATAACTAAATATCTGTTAAATTAGAAAATGGCTTAGACATTTCAACACTTCTACATATTTAAATGAAATCCTTTATAAATTCCATCACATTCAACAAGATTTATTTCTATGCAATGCAGAATTGTGTCTTAACAAACGTAATTATCAATAAATGATCTTTTTCATGAGTTTCTGAGAAATTCTTTCTGTTAACAGTACTTGGAAGCACATCCATTTACAACCTAAGAAAAACTAGCAAGAACCGTTCCTTATTATTTTTGAAGGTAAGCAGATTTTAAAATGGGAGATCCAAAGGTGAAAATGTATTTAATTTTTAAATCCTAATGATTTGATTACTTAACATTCTAAAGCAAGACCACTTGGAAATATTGTTGCCTAACCCAGTGTTTGAATTTTCTTATTTCAATCAATACTTTGAAGTAGAATTTGTTATAGCCTAGCCTTATTTTAATATTCAGGAAAAGTTCCTAGAATATATCAAGAGATTAAGTATAGTTTGTACTTATGGTTTACAGCTAGTATTAATATTTAATAACAAAAGAAACATAATTAACATTGCTATACCAATAACATTGAATCTATCTTGATAACACAGATATTTTACCTGAACAGACAAAGAAAAATAATGCTCACATCTTTTGGGTATTTTCGTCATATGCCAAGATTTTTATAACTTCCCAGTTCCCTGATGTCAGATGTCGTATACTAAATTGTTCATTTTTGATCTGCAAAAAACAATACATTTAACTTTTTTTGTCCCATGACTTTCCTTAAGTGATCAAAGCAATGATTGGCAACAGGGGTTAAATTCTATGGGCCCCCTTGGTATCAGTCATGATATATAGAAGGTTGTAACATGAAAGTAAGAGGAACGAATGGAACAAAACTCAAATTAACAAATTAAATGAAAAATAAAAAATATATATTTAGGGTTTGTAAAATTAAGAAATGAAAGATGCATGAGAAATATGGAATATATTTAGTAGGAGGTAAGATAAGGAAGTATGTTGTCAAGGTGGTGATGTCAAAATGTATTTATAGATATATTTATGAGAATTCTCATAATATTGCTTGAGATTTGTTGACTGAGAAAGGTATAGGTGTTTATTTCTGTATGCTAATGATGCTGCAATTTTGCCTGGGAGTATGAATGATTTGCAGCAAACATTAGATATATTGTGTGGTGTAGTGAAAAACATGAATCTGAACATTCATGAATCAAAGCTCAAGGTATTTATATTTGACAGGTAAAATGGAATGAAGGAATTAACACGTTTTATATAAAAAATAAGCAAAAACTGACTTTGTATCTTGGTGAAATGTTAACTGAAGATGGGACAATGAATACACAAGCAAATGGTGGTAAAAAGATAACACATAGTATGAAGGCTATTATGAAGAATGAATATTTGTTGAAATAATGCAAAAATGGCCTTTTATAAGAGGGTTTTTTCTGGATACTGTCTTGTATGAAAATGTAAGCTGATTATGTCAGGAATATGAGAAATGTAGGTTGAATGTAATGAAAATCGGTTATTTAAGTTTGCAGTAAAATAGAGACAGGGCCAAGAATGAATGGAACTAGACTCAATGCAAAAGTGAATGATGAATAAAAAAGTAATATACCTGGGGCACTGGGAAAGAGGTAAAAAACTCGATACAGCAGCCTAAATTGCATATAAAAAAGGGTCAGGTTTTCAATTTTATAGTTGCAGCTGTTAGTTTGACTGCTTGAGTCTCTCTTTGCACCAGGTACTTGTGAAGTACACCAAGATGGTTGAAACGTATTACAGAATGAGGATCAAACTAAAAAAAAACAAAAAAACCCAACTATATTTAAGAAAAGTGAATGGACTGAAAGGAAGAGAATGAGTGAGAAAGTCCTGTTTGGATGTTGATGTTGATGGTGATGATGATGATGATACTTTCCTTAAAAAGAGAGAAGATACAAATTATGACATTTGTTTTGCTGAGCATACACCTGGGTTAGAAAAACACTGATGTCCATACATATCCATGGTTTTTTTGGAAGGTACACGTCAACAGATATCAAACTGTTAATTTCCTTGACTTCTCAATGATAGTATATCCTATAGTAATCCACATATCCTTAAATAGTTCACCTCAATGGGATTCAAGGAAGCAAATATTATTTTATTAGGTCCTTTTCCCTTAATGTTTATATAGTTAAGCTATAAATATTTCCATGAGCAAGGAATTCTGTCTTGGGCTTCTGATAATAAAAATTACAGTACATAGATGCAATGTCTCAATACTTGACTCACGCAATAACATCAGCTGAAGATATTATCTACTTGGGTAATGAAACATGTTCAAAAAACAAAACAAAAACAGAAAAAAACCAATCAACGAGGACTAAGAATTCCACAGCTCAACCCTCAGCTACAAATATTCTCTTCTATTAGCATCAATTACGTTTTAGTTTAACAAGATGAATATACATATACCACTTGCAGGAAAACAGGAGAAAGAAGAAATAATGGTCAGCAAGAAATAATTCACAAATAATCTGTAAACATTAAAAGCTGTGCCTTCTGCTAATGAAAACAACATCTATATTTAGCATCCACATCTGTATTAATGTCCATTGATATCAATATGAAATATACTTATGCCACTGACTTTAAACAGAATCAAACAGAGCTTGAGCACAGGGTTAAAAGTAACTCTTGTCTATCTTTGGCTCAGATTGAATTTAAAACTGTGTGCCTGGAACTGGATCATCAAAAGCTCATAGCATCTAGTGCTTTGGATAGGAAATCTTTTAATGCATGTTCCTCATCCTAATTATTTCTTAATTTTATTTGCAAAATTGATAACAATATTAGGGATATTAGGGGGCAGTTTATTCATAGTACATCTTCATTCCAGAAAGCAGAGTAACTCTAGAACTAGTGTGATCCAGTTAGAGCTCTAGATCCCTAGCAAGATATATTCTGCCATAGACCATCATCTCTCTCTCTCTCTCTCTCTCTCTCTCTCTCTCTCTCTCTCTCTCTCTCTGTGTGTGTGTGTGTGTGTGTGTGTGTGTGTGTGTGTGTGAGAGACAGAGAGAGACAGAGAGAAAGAGAGAGAGGCAGAGACAGACAGACAGACAGACAGATGGCTGTAACATACTGGTTTGTCACATAGTGAAGGATTTATACAAGAATTCCCAAAAAATAATTGGGAAACTTTTTTTTTTTAATAACATTCCTTTAAAAATAGCAGTGGTAAGTTTTAAACATTCCTGTAACTTAGTGTTTTAGAATATAGTGGGATGCCAACTTTCATGGCAACAATGATAGCAAATGTCAGATTGAGAGAGGTTATTTTGTGCAATATTTTTTGTAATGTTCACTCCTTGAACCAAACTTTTACCTTCAGACAAATGTAATATTATATAGGAAAGATAAATGTTAAAGGACTTCTAAAAGTGATCACCCAAGGCAAAGAAGGAATACTTATCCATGTATTGTTTATTGTATTTTGATTGTATATGTACTTATATCTAAGCCCAGTAAAAAAAAAAAACTGTTATTCCCTGCAACACCAACCCTGTGAAGTAGGTTGAGCTGAGAGACAGTAATTTGCTCAGAATTGCCCAGCGAGTTTCTGCGGCGGGAATCTAACTTAAGTAAAAGAAGCTTACCTGAACATTAAACATAGCAATATGGTGGAATTCACCACGACCACCTTGTTTAACTGGAACTGTCATAAAAAATGTATTGCCATCTTTAGAAAAAACTGGTTCCTCATTCTATAAAAAAAAATCAGAGAAAGATATTCTTGTTAAAAACTACCTCATATCATTTTTACAATGACACATTCAAATATTGAACACATTGAAGATAAACAATATATTATGGCATAAATATGATTTTAATGCTTTTTCCTGTTTTTGCAATGGCTTATCATGGTGCATAAGATGGGTGTCTACAGATGTCTTCTAAATGAATAAAGGGTCAAGATAATAAAGCACCAAAATAATTCAAGAGGCTATTCCATTACTCAGAAATCTTTTTTTTTTAAATAGCAATTTTAAACTGCTTCTTTGTGCCTTCAGGTTAATGTATGGATGGCTTAAGGTAAGCAGAGAACAGAGTTCATGCATTCTGACAGAGGTCCAAAGGGAAACTGAACTTGCCTTCGCAGGGACACAAGAAGGCTTTCTATGCAAGCTGGCTCCGGGAACATTCAGAGAGACCTCCTCACCTTATAGGAAATGCAAGTACAGGTCTCCTGACCTCCAGACAATTACTTAAAGAGGGTTAACCTCCTGGAATCCAGGACAGCTTTTTACAGTGAAATATAATTACCATTAAACTTACATGACACTTCTATCTTCCAGTAAGTTACTAGTGTGAATCATTGGCTATGTCTGTATTTTCTTAGGGATTATGGATATCTGAAAATACAAATATAGTCCATGATAATTACTTCACACTTGTATGCATGTGTGTGCGCATGTGAGTGTGTATATGTGTGTGTGAGAGAGTGCAGGTTGCCATACTAGTTCCAGTGGAACAAGCTTTTGACTCTTTTGACTGGTGAGGTCTAGGAGAAGAGCCTTTTCTTCTGTGGCCCCTCCTCTCTCTCCCATTAGAGGTGAGATCTTCCCCCACACTCCTGGCCTCTGGAAGAGCCTGAAAACCTGGCTCTGCTGTTTGGCCTGGTGCCCTGATAAGGGCCTGCTATGTTGGAGATGGCTGTCACAGTAGAAAAGATCCCCACTCCCACACTGTCCATTGTTTTGGCTTTCAGCTTTGTATTTAATCCTCTTATTTTTAATTGCTTTGTATTATCTTTTTTTAAAATCTTTTTATTATATTGTAATCTGCCCAGAGCAACTTAAAACTTTAATAAATAAATAAGGAAAGCTCTGCAGCAGAGGAAGCCCACTTCATGAGACCCATCAAATGTAGTTTTCCTTGCCACACCCAATAGGGCGGGATGATATAATTGGGGACAGGTGGGCCCTCTGGTAATCTAGCGCCATAGCATAAAGCAGGGATCTTCAAACTTGACCCTTTTATGACTTGTGGACTTCAACTCCCAGAATTCCTCAGCCAGGCATGCTGGCTGAGGAATTCTGGGAGTTGAAGTCCACAAGGGCCAAGTGTGAAGACCCCTGGCATAAAAGGTTTTAAAGATTAAAGCCAGCAGTTTGAATTGGACCTGGAAACAAACTGGCAATCAATGCAGCTTGCAGAACAGAAATGTAACTTTATTTTAAAAATGGAAAGCTCATGAAGGGCTATTTTGCATTATCATCATGTATGCAAATAGTCAGATGGTTTCTTGTCTAATGCATTGAAATTCATTTTTATTAGACACTTGATTAAGCATTTGGCTAACAACAGACTTATTATGTATTGTTCTGAAGGGAAGAGAAACTGAGGGTCCCTTCCCTTTGCTAATCTATGCGGACATGGACCAAAAGGCAGACTTTCTCTTTGTGGGCCCTATCCTGTGGAATCCTATGCTCCCTTTTGGCTGGCTGATTGGATAACCATCTGTATTAATTATGTCATTGTGTAAACTGCCGGGAATCAGAATAAGCTGGGCAGTATAAACCTGCAAACAAGCAAAGACCTATACTGGAATTTTGTTCTATGATGCCATCAGAAAAATACAACAACTACAGTGAAGTACCAAGTCACTTATTTTTATATTCTGCTGAAATTATTCCCAAGCTTTTTACGAAATCATTGATATTGTTTCAAATAATTAATATACTATACCTGCTTAGCAAGCCAGACTTCGGATGTAAATTCATACTTCTAAAAACAACACAAAATGTAGTTAAGTATGCATAAATATCAAACAGTTATTTATTGGAGAATTGTATGCCTAATAGATTGCATTTTGAATCTTAAAATTGATAGATTGATCAATTTTTATTTGCTATCATAATCTTTTCCAATCTGAGTGCTTTCTAGTTACATGGAACAGTTCAGAGAAATGCCAGCAATAAGAACATATGATAGATTATGGGGAGGCTGTGAAAAGTCAGGAAGACAGAACAGAAAGAAACAATTGCAAGAGTCGGCTGACAGAAATGACAACTTAGATCAAGTGGATAGAGATCTAGGATGAAGCATTTCATTAAAAGAGACACTGGCTTAATTAACTTAAATGAGAGAGTGAGAAATTTAACAGAACTTTAACAGAATAACAGAGTTGGAAGGGACCTTGTAGGTCATCTAGTCCAACCCCCTGCTCAAGCAAGAGACCCTGTACCATTTCTGACAAGTGGATGTCCAGTCTCTTCTTGAAAACCTCCAGTGATGAAGCACCCACAACCTCTGAGGGCAAGCTGTTCTTTGATTGATTGTTCTCACTGTCAGAAAAGTTCTCCTTATTTCTATGTTGAATCTCTCTTTCATCAGTTTCCATCCATTGTTCCTTGTCTGGCCTTTGGGAGCTTTGGAAAATAAGTTGACCCCTTCTCTCTGTGACAGCCCCTCAAATATTGGAATACTGCTATCATGTTATCCCTAGTCTTTCTTTTAATTAAACTAGATATATCCAATTCCTGCAACCATTCTTCATATGTTGTAACATCCAGTCCCTTAATTATATTTGTTGCTCTTCTCTGACCTCTTTCTAAAGTCTCAACATCTTTTTTATAATGTGGTGACCAAAACTGGATGCAGAATTCCAGGTGTAGCCTTACTAAGGCTTTATAGAGCGGTATTAGTACCTCATGTGATCTTGATTGAATCCTTCTGTTAATGCAACTTAAGATTGCATTGGCTTTTTTGGCTACTGCTGCAGACTGCTGGCTCATATTTGATTGATTGTCCACTAGGACTCCAAGATCTCTCTTGCAGTTACTACTATTAAGCCAGGTTTCACTTAATATGTACATGTACTTTTGGGTTTTCTGGCCTAAGTGTAAGACCTTACTTTTCTCTACATTAAATTTCATTTTGTTAGATAGGGCCCAGTGTTCAAGTCTGTTGAAATCCATCTGGATCTTAAGTATATCATCAAGGGTGTTGGCTATTCCTACCAGCTTAGTATTATTTGAAATTTTTGATGACTTCACCTTCTATTCTCTTATCTAAGTCATTTATGGACATAGTGAAGAGTACTGGGCTTAAAACAAAACCTTATGGTACCCCATGTAGATGTAGTACCATTAAGGACCACTCACTGAGTACTCACTGAGTATGATTTGTCAGCCAGTTAATTTGTCTTAGTTTGAATTTATATCACACTAACCATAAGTGAGCGAGTGAATGAATTTTAGTTCTTGGTTCCTTGATCTTGCCCAGCTGTGTGGAGCTGGTCGTCATGATACCTGTCTACCTATAAAAGCCTAAATGGTTTGGTTGTTTGGTATCTATAATACCACCTGCATTGTATAATTTCAAATGACCCCCTAAATTAATGTTATTTTAAGGATGTTAAGTGTCCTTCATTCAGGGTGTGTGGGTTTGAAAGCAAAATACTTCATTCCTATGAAACAGCCTACTCCAGAAAATTTGAATGGTACCCTCTCTACTGCCTTTTAAAAAGACAGTGAAAACAGAACTATTTGGAAGGATATTCAATATGCATTGTTACTAAAAAAAAAGACCCCTAAGGGTTATGATTGTTGTACTCCTGTTATAATTGAAGATAATGTTTTAACATATTTTTTATGGGAGTATCACTGGAATTGGGGGCTTGCAAACATACAAATACCTCTGAAAATAGAAATCCATATATTGGAGAGCTCCAAGATTTCTGAAAGCATAATTATGAACTATTGCACATACTTAAATTAGCTGCAAAATTGCATACAGCTAAACTCTATTTGACAAAAAATGTACACAAAAGTGTAGGTTGTTCAACAGTATTGTAAGTAGTAATCTCTTTCAAAGTTAATTTCCTGTTTGTTTGTTTGTTTTTTAATTTGAACAGGGGTTTCAACAACATTTTAGGAAGGGGGAATCTGTAACTTCATAAAGGCTGCTAATTTTTTGCTCTTCCTGCAGCTTTTCATGATTCTAGTTTAAACAAGGGGCACTAGAAGAATTAAGAAAAATCATACTTTTTTAATTAAATAATTTATGAAGCTAAAGAAAAAAAATGAATTCTACAAACAAAATGCCAAACAACTATCAGAAAAAACAAACTTTTAAAAAAAATACTGCATAGTATAGTATTTAATGTGTGCCTATATATTTGGATATGTGATGTTGATATAATAGAAGAAAACAAATGATTATCAAGAAATATCCATTTACGATACTTTTGTAATGTAATGCAAATATGTATTATATATTTAACACAGTGTGAAGTTATATAGGAGTATCCCAACTTTTCATGTATTGTTAATGAGGATAAAATGCTTTGTGGGTTTGGTCCCTTTGAATCAGTGTTGATTCCTTGTGATTTCCTGAAGATATCCCTGAAGTTTTCTTGGTAAGATTTTCAGAAATGATTTTTTTACTGTCTTCTTCCTGGGGTTGAGAGAGAATGACTGGCCCAAGGCCACAGCTGGCTTTGTGCCTAAAGTTGGATTAGAACTCACAGTCGGTTTCTAGCATGATGCCTTAGCCACTACACCAAACTGAGTCTCATTAAAACAGTATCCTGTTTTTAGATACAAAACCTAAAAAAAATGAAATCTAAATTATTCAAAACAGGCTCTATAACAAAAGAATTGAAAAAAAGCAAAACTAGAAAAAAGCACACAAAAAAGATTGAAGTTAAAAAGAAACGAAAAGAAAATGCACTCTCAAAAGAACACAGTAAGACTTCTTTCTAGCTAATACAGTGAAAATAATAAAATCATATTGATTCAAATTATGAGAGTCATTTTTTTTCAACTACAAATTAAACTGATCATATTGTCTGATTTTCTACAGGATAATACAAGAGCTGACCTTACTTGGCCAGTGTTTAGAATCTGGTAGAACATCTGTATTATTTACTGATCAACAGAGGCAGGTTAAACAATTTGCTTAGACATAAATTACTAGTTTGCCATTAACTCTGCTGAAAAAGAGCACCTTGCTGTTGACAGTATTATGAGAATCTAGAATCATCTATTGTTATAATACCAGTAATTGCTGCTTCATCTCCTGGATAAGTGCTGCCAAATATCCTACTGAGAATTCAAACTGTTTCCTTACTCTGTTTAGCTTTGTCAAATAAAAAGAAATTTTTGGAACCCAGAATACTTTTGTGGATACCCAGCTGTTCTCCCTATCTGATTTTCTAGCTCATGGAGTTGCAATGAAGAACAACAGTATACACACACACACACACACACACACACACACACACACGCACGCACACACACACACACACATATATTTCTAAAATTTGGATTGCTAGCAAAGAATTAAGGGAGAACTGGAATAGCTATTTCGAACTCTTTAGCTCTTTTCAACCAGACATACCCTTCTGAGATTCGAACCTGGGCTGTCTGCATGTTAGGCAGCTGTATTAACCTCTAGGCCACAGGCTCTGTCTCACTTTTGCCAGCTGTGTTAGGGAGGGAAGAAACAGGGGAGGAGTTATCTAGAATGCTGTATGTTACACCCTGTTGCCCAAATATGGGAGAGAGAAATCTTTTTTTTTTTTTAGAATACAGTATTCTAGATAACTCCTCCCCTGTTTCTTCCCTCCCTAACACAGCTGACAAAAGTGAACAGAGCCTGTGGCCTAGAGGTTAATACAGCTGCCTAACATGCAGACAGCCCAGGTTCGAATCTCAGAAGGGTATGTCTGGTTGAAAAGAGCTAAAGAGTTCGAAATAGCTATTCCAGTTCTCCCTTAATTCTTTGCTAGCAATCCAAATTTTAGAAATGTATATGATGTCACAGTTGTGACTGCTGCCTGTGGATGACTCTAGTTTGAGCTGATACAAGGCAAAAGATTTCTCTCTCCCATATTTGGGCAACAGGGTATAACATACAGCATTCTAGATAGATAGATAGATAGATAGATAGATATTCATGGCAGGTTGTCTGTAAGCACACTAGATCTACAGTGAGGTACTATATATTTAACACAAGATGTGCGTTAATCCACGGAAATGAGCTGAACATAAAATAAATCTCTAAAGTTTGTTCTATACACATAAGAGCCATTATTAAGATGTAAGCTTAAAAATGAACAAGAAGTATCATACCATACTACAGGCACCAGTGGTTGTTTCACACACTGTAAGGATGGATAGATTTTGAGGCCTGTTTAGCCACCTCACCACTGTCTTAGTGTTGCTCACCCACTTGACCATCGTTATATAATATTCTCTGCAACAGAAATAGATGTTAAAATACAGGAGTTACAAGTAGTTCATATCAATTGCTTTAAGATATACAAGACATTGAAAAATTGCTCTAGGCCCATCATTCATATATTTAATATTCAAACATCCTTCAAAATTTACTTTACTTTACTATTCAGAATATATAGAATAACTTCCATGCTGTTTTGATCACAATGGTTTGCCTTATAGTTTATCAGATTAAACAATACACAAACACATGGACTTAACCCTCAAGTCCATAAGCAAAATGCCAACATAGTGCCAGGAAAAACAAGAGATAGAATGGTTTAGTATTTAGGGAATTGGACTGTGGAGTACATGGAAGATGAGGTGACCTTGGGCCGGTCACTTTCTCTTAGCCCAATCAACAGGATTGTCACTGTTGGGTGGAAATTGAAGAATGGAGTATTATCAATGTCACCTTGAGCTTCTAATGAAAGATAGGATGTATGAACATAGCAATACCATACTATTATTCACTTTTTGGCTACATAAGAGAATCTACACATATTTATGGTTCAAGCCAGAGGTCCCCAACCTTTTGGGCACCAGGGACTGATTCCGTGGAGAGAGGTTTTTCCATGGGCCAAATGGTGTGTGGTTTGGTGTGTTGCCTGCGTCTTGCAGATGGGGCTTTGCTTGTTTGTGTGGACCAGTTGCTGGCATGTCACAGCCCGGTACTGGTCTACGGACTGGGGGTTGGGGACCCCTGGTTCAAGCTATTCCTTCTCCCTCTAAAAGTCCTATTAAATTGTCATGCAGAATTAGTTATGTAGGCTAATTTTCATTACCAGCTCTGCTGTCATTTAAACTTAGAAATACTTAAGTTCTTAGTTGAATACATTCAATAAAATTGTTGCCATTCTTAGCGATCCATAAGTATGGGACTCCCTGCACTTATATTTCAACTTACAAGAATATCAATTCACAGCAAAAGGTAAAACATATTTTAGAACAATACACCTGGATTTCTGATGACATTATGACATTTAACAATAATTTTCCCACATCACAACTCAAAATGTTTCCTTATTACTTAATATCTTGAAATAACTTTGTATTTTTCCATTATTTCAATTTGATAGCTACAGTCGTTATTATTTACAGGTAGTCTCAACTTACAATCATTCATTTAGTGATTGCTGCATTGAAAAAAGTGACTTATGACTGGTCACTTAATAAAAAAATTGGGTGCTTGGTAAGTTATGTAGTTATCAGTTGCAGTATCCTAAGGTCATGTAATCACCATCTGTAACCTTTCCAGCTGGCTTCTGACAAGGAAAGTCAATTGGAGAAGTCAGATTTGCTTAACAACTGCATGATTCCCTGATGAACTGCAGTGATTTGCTTAACAACTGTGGCATAAAATGTTGTAAAATGGGATGCAATTCACTTAATCTTCCTTGCTTAGCAGCAGAAATTTTGGACTCCACTGTGGTTGTAAGTGAAGCACTACCTGTATTGTGATACTTTTTTTAAATTTTTTTTTCTTTCTTATTAATTCTGGAGTCTTATCAACCCCCCCCCCAAAAAAAAATCCCTTAAAGTATCATTGACTAATATTTGACACATGCTTAATAAATAAGCAGATACTAAACTTGAAAAAGAAAAGGGATTTGTATTATTATTCTGTAGATATAGATATATTTTATCCTCCAGTTAACCTTAAACAAATTGTATTAGATCAATTTCACGTTTAGACATCACCCTCATACTGTCATTTGGTGCATCCAGTATAACACTTAGTTCAACTGTTTTGTTTATTTGGGCCTGTGTGTGGGAGGAGGAGACTTTTGCCTAAAGTTCAAGTCTCTTGGGACATCAGGTACATGAAAGAGCAAGCAGAGGCACTTTTTCCAATTGTGAGGGGCCACAATTGCCTAGGTATCCTTTCATTGCCTTTCATTGTTACACATCCCTTTTTCACATACGTTTATATACACACAAAGGCTCTTCCCAGTCCTACTTCCTCAGCTGACCAGCGTAGATCAGCTGACGAATACTGGCAGTTTCTATGGTGATACAAATACTTCAAAGTTTCAAAAATAGAAAGTGCATAAGAAGCATCCCTGTAAAAGGACTGCAAAACTGCTGCTTCAGAGGTTTCTCCTGGCTATTCTTGCCTGCACACTCTTTGAAAGCAGCCATTATGAATATGGGAAAAGAAAAGGCTCATTATACAACTCTTTGAAAAAAATTGTATAACACCAATTTTTTTTTTTTTTTGCTTTGTCCTGAGAAACAGTATATTTGCTTGCAGTAGTGGAATAAAGAACAGGATTTATCTCTGAAATCTTGCAAATTGGAAGGGATTGTTTTCTTCTTCTCCTCTTGGTATGAATTGGAGACAGCCTGGGAAAAGGTTAGGACCAGCTTTTACAAGATGATGGATTGAAAGAGGAAAGCCTGTGGGATAGAGTTTTTTCATATTTAGGTCAGAGAACAGGCAGTTTTTGAACACAAGGGCAAGAAGGCTCTTCATGAATAAACAATAATAATAAAAGACTGAATGAATCTTTATTGAAGTAGTCAATTATAGAAAAAAACCTGGGTTAATTTGTTTAAAAGGACCCCCCCCAAAAAAAAACCCTTTGAATCCAACTTTTGATATATGCAGAAAGTGAAACTTAGAAAGTCCCACCAAATTTCCCACTGCAGTCTTGGTACCTGCTTGCTTTATTGCATTTACAGCACATATGTATGCAGCCTTGGCCAAAGCTAAGTGTACTTTGAAGAGTAGCTGAGCAGTCTGTCTCTTCTATAGAAAGTCTGACAGGAATAGTAGATGCTAAAGTTCAAGACAGAGGGGTAAGATGGAGAGGCAGTAGCCATAAATTGCCCGAAAGACATCCCTATTGAGGTATGTGCTGAATGTTATGGGCAAATTTTGCAACCTTTCAATCCTACTGTCCTGCTGATATGAGAGTATTGTTATAATTGATTCACATTTTCCAATAGTTGATTTGATGGAAGATAACACAAAAATAAATGAACTGGAATGTTTAGAACCTGAAAGAGGGTCTTCCAACTGGTTAAAAATTGAAAGTTATAATCCAAGATCATGTGACTAATTCCTTCTACCTAAAAACATGTTCTGGAAAATGTCTTTGAGTTAACGGAAGGCCTTTGCACGGAATACAATAAGCCATTTTGGTACATAAATCTACAAAAATAATTGTATAACCCTGTTGAGGAGGAACATAACAGAATCCATTGAAACAGAATTCCAAGGTCCAGATAGGGAAGGGTGTGGCTGAAGTAAATTGATTGACTGTGCAAGAGTCATCTTGGTCTGTCAACAGATATGGTAGGATGAAACATAGTTCTTGATATCTGTGCTCATTCTTAAGCATCAGAACTCTGAGTGCCCAATGGAAACTTTTAAACACTCCCCTACGTCCAGCAATTTGATTGCCCTGGTAGAGTTGTGGCATCTCTTCCTTGAGGGAAGAAGAACATGGTGTTTATGAAACAACTTACATAAGTCACAGAGGAGATTGTCTATATGTCATATGAATTTTATTGTTGCAAATAGGCTGATCCAACAGATGTACTGCCTATTTCCCTCCCCATAACTTTACAGAAGATCTATACTCAGGGAAGGGGCAAAATTGTTTGGCTTCCAGATTGTGATAGAGAGGGTTGAGCATGGAAGATCATATTCAGATTTTTGTGATAATTTATATGGTGATTTTTTTAGACCCAGCAAATTTACGTGACATTAAATTTGAAATGGAGAAAAATGTGTCCACCTGATCTTGTAAGATATGATGGGTTGTGCTTTCTATAAACATTCCAAATTCTTCAGTTGTATCTGTACTCGATTACTCCCTCCCAAAAACGTCTGTCATATTGGAATATTACTTTGGTAATAAGCAACTCTTTATTGAAAATGCCATGGTTCCTTTCAGCTGGGAAAAGCAATTTATAATAAAATGCATAAAGCAGGAGATCTTCCCACACATTTTTGATGTTGGAAAACGCCTCCTAATGTTGCATCTAATGTGTCTGTTTACACAACAAAAGGATGAGAGGGGACAGGATGTCTGATGACTCAAGAATGTTACTTGAGACAATTTGAACCTCTGTTCCTTTTTTAGCAGTTAACAGTCTTCTGGATCATGCAAAATCATGGAGAACATTTTCTAGAAACTTGCAAAGCCCGTAAAAATAGTGGATATTCTTCAGACTTCTAGATGCTTGCAATAAGAATATGGACTGTACTTTTGCAGGATCCATTTGTATTCCCCCTATAGAGATCTAATAACACAAATAGTCCACTTGGAAATATCAAAAACACATTTCCACCTTCAGTAAAAAATATTATGTTTGAGGAGTCTCTATAAGTCATTAACACAAATCTTGTGTAAAAATGGAAACATCAGTATGCCATCCAAATACAGCACCACGTATTTGACTAAAGATTTCATTGATGAATCTGGAGAGACAGCAGGACAATTATTCAATCAAAATAGCACCATGGTGAATTCCAATTTGCCGTGCTTGGTACCAAAGGCAGTTAAAATTCATGGCCCTCTTTCAAACTGTAAGTGCCTTTCAAATCAATGAAAAGATGTGCTTTCTGAAGGCTGTTCAGCTGATCTGAAATAAGAGGTAGCGGGTAGCGGTTTCTAATGGTCACAGAGTTCAGAAATCCACATCATGAATAGTCTTCAAGAAATTATCTTTCTTGGATACAAAAGACTTAAGTACAGATGCTGAAGATGTACAAGGGGAAATGAGTCCCTTCTTCAAATTGTTATCCAGAAGCTCTTGTAAGGTGGTCAGTTCTTGAATAGACATAGGATAGTGTCTCTTAGTTGGAATCTGGGCTCCTAACTTCAAGTTAATTATGTAGTTACATGCTTGATAAGGAGGCATGGTAATTGTGACTTCCAATGAGAATTTACGATGAACTAGTTGTTTCGAAAGGAGCAGAGTTGGCATTGTGATGAGATCAGTGGCCAGATGGTGATTTCTGGC